AATGGAACTATCAAAAACCTCGTAGCCAACGAAAAATCTTTGAACAGCGCTGTCAACTGGATATTGGAAACATCAAAAAACTTGACTAAAGAGTCCTCTGAATTAAATGTTAGAATTAAAATAATGGAAGGAAGACATTGCTAACGGTCTAATGTTCAGTAAGAATAACGTACTTTACCCTGCTATATGTTTTCCTCAACAACTATATAACGATTTAGTGGATATTGAAGTCGTCGTGGCCTAAAGGATAAGACGTCCGGTGCATTCGTATGAAGCGATGCACCGGTGTTCGAATCCCGCAGGCGCGTACCAATTTTCCTAATGAAATACGTACTCAACAAATGTTCACGATTGACTTCCACGGTGAAGGAATAACATCGTGTAATAAAAATCAAAGCCGCAAAATTATAATTTGTGTAATCACTGGTGGTAGGACCTCTTGGGAGTCCGCACGGGCCTATTTCCGCCGTGAAGCAGTAATGCGTTTCGGTTCGAAGGGTGGGGTAGCCGTCGTAACTATACTGAGACCTTAGAACTTATATCTCGAGGTGGGTGGCGCATTTACGTTGTAGATGTCTATGGGCTCCAGTAACCACTTTACATCAGGTGGACTGTGAGCTCGTCCATCCATCTAAGCAACAAAAAAAAATTATAGATTCCTTCCCAGTTCTAGAGAACTTCCAATACATTTAAACCCAAGTAATATTCATATATGCTAATGGATGTATCTAGCTTAAGTACATTTTATCAAAATAACAAGATCATATTTGTTATCAAAATACCTTTAGTTAACCCCTTAGAATTAAGTATGTATCGCGTATTACCTTACCCATTGTCATTTAAAAATGAATCTTACATTACTATTATCCCTACTACTAATTATATTGCGTTTTCAAGAGACAGAAGTCAATATTGTCATTTTAATGATTTAAGTAAATGTAAATCAATATCTGAAAATTATATTTGTAAAAATGTTAACATCCTGTCTAGTATAACCTACCCTATATGAGAAAGCGGAATTGTTACAAAGACACCAATATCCATGCCTGAGAATTGTTCGATTAAAACAATCAAAAGAGATATTGAAGTATGGCAAGAACTAAGCGGAAACAAATGGATATTTGTAATGTCAAAGGCTGCAAAGTTGTCAATCGATTGTCCTGATAAAAATATTTACGAAACTAATATTTGTGGCACTGGAATTGCTGAGATCCCACACGGCTATATAGGATATTGCAATGGTATCCAAATACCATCTAGAAAGAACGTTAATATAAAAATAAGCCACATTACTAGCGACTTCGACATTATCAGATACAATTCAAACCTTCTAAATAATTCTGATTCAGCCGTGCCCTTTCCTAGAACTCATCTCAAACATACTAGCCTCGATTCATTAATTACCTATAAAGACAACTTTGAAACCCTTAACAGTAAGCTTAACAAGATCATTGACAAACCTCAAGTACTTATAAGTGACGATAATCATTATAACTCATTATCTCTAATTGTATACACTATTGTAATAGTTTTAAGTCTAGCTTTAGTTTATAAACTTTATAAGATCAGCAACCGTTGCATCCCTCCTAGATTCAAGATCCATTTAAGATAACTCAACCGTCTCTCCAGATCCAGTATTACCTCCTATTTCTAATAACCCTAGAATGCGCATCCATACATAAACTTCACCATTAAGGGTGTAAGTTTAGTCCTAGTCGGGAGGCTGTTGTGATACCCTCTGGTTCCTAGCTTTGCTTCATCATCACCTTTCCCGAATAGCATCAGCAGTTATGGTCCTTTATTAGAGAGCAATCCCCTCCCTATCCAGTCAGTCCTATTCCTAATTACACACGGCACGGTTGCCGTCATTAATCGTCGTGAAATCTCTATATATTCATTTCGTCAATAAAATCTTTTTTTAAAAAGATATTTTTCAATTCCGTATAACAGTACCTATCAGGTTTGGTGATAGAATTAAGTTTCCTATAATCTCCGCATAGGCGTAGTTCACCGTTCTTCTTCGGAACTACGTGCAAAGGGCTTGCACATGGGCTTTTCGATGGATGGCATATACCTGCTTCTTGCATAAAGCGAAATTCTTCTTGTACCTTCCTAAGCCAATCCGGAGGTAAGGGTCTATCATTAGCAGATACCGGGGGTCCTATCGTCTCGATATGATGGAAAACACAGTGGTTAGGTACGTTATTATAAGTAGAAGGCTTAGTGATACATGAATATTTACTAAATCAAACGGGTTTAGTCTTCGATTGTTTTTATTGTAGGTAGGCTCACCTTTACGATACTAGCAATTAAGTTCAATTTCGTTAAGCCATCAATTAGCTTTCTGTGCCTTAAATCTAACTATGTTGGGCCAGGAAATCTGTGCCTAAAATAGGTTGTGTAACATCAGCTAAGACAAATGTCCATGTAAAGGGTCTACGCAAATTAAAATCTAAAACTAATGTTTGATTTGCGATGCGTTAGCTGCATAAAGCTTATAATCGTTACATTTACATAACTATTGTTTATATTTTGACAATGGTAAAATTGAAATGTTCGCACCAGTATCCACTGAGAATGTTAGTCCACTTTTCTTATTTTGTATGCATAGGTGTTTACTTGGTATGATACAGCATTCCGCCCTCGACTGTACCGTACTTAGTTTTCTTGTACATTGCCATCGTTCTGCTTCTGCCAAGCGCACGGTTGTACGCACTTGTGAGCGTTTTCTTTATGACGGTAATGATAAAAGCAGAGCCAGTTGGGATTCCTCCGTCTATTGTTTCCTGACCGGTCACGACTTCGGGAACCGGAACGAAATGGTGTTCTGTCTTTATACTTGCCAAAAGATGGATTCCCTGACCTTGAGACTTCCAATCTCGATAGGCGGTGTTCTATCTCAGCAAGTTGCGCTTCCAGCGGACCTGGCGTAACCGAACCGCTTCTCGTCGTGGCTACCTCCTGAATCTCGGAGTAACGAATTGTCTCGACTACTTTATCTGCCGTAGTTGCTAATTTATTGATGTCTCTGACTTCACGGATGGTTAACACTGCCTGCACTGGCGTCGGCAAATGTCCCATCCACAGCATGCGAAGAGTTTCCTCCGCGAATTTATTTCTGGCAAGATCCTTCATACTTCGTAGAGGCTGGGATGGCATTTGATCGCCCAGTTCCATTTCTTTCAGCAATTTTTGTATTTGCCGGACCTCAGATTCCTCGTAAACGGCAAGCAATCTGGTCTTCAATGCTTCGTATTTCTGAGAGTCTCTGGGCGCTATTTCTGGGAGTGTCAGGACTAAATCACTAATGTGTTCCACATTCTCTCTACTGAGCTTTGCGACGACCAAATTATAACGAGATTCGTCTGATAATTTTTGGTTTCACACTACTGCTTCATATTGGGCAAACCATAGTCGGGGTGAATCTTTCCAAAAATCTGGAATGCGGCTTGATACTGTAATTTGAACGTTGTCGCCTCCCTCGACATTGGTTGCACTCGTTAATGGATGACATTGTTACGTTACTGCGGCACTGACACAAAACTATGTAATGTCTTTTTATTACCTATGTAAAGTTCACTTTAAACATTAAAGTATTTTCACTATTTATTTATTTTTATTTATTTGTTTAGTCGGGGGTCACCAGTGTTGAGTCTATATCGGGCAAGGAATAATAAGACACGTGTTCAGTTAAGTGACTAACGTATATTGGGATTGCAACCTAACGTGCTATCGACAGCCCGATAATCCCGAGACTGATGTAACATCATTGCAATATAATTATCGCTAACACATACATATAACTATTAGTTACTATGGGGACATTTGTTGACCCTACAGAGGGTTACCGTGGTCAACACTACAACCAGACTGCCCAGCTCACCCCAAGGACGCCCGGCTGACGGAACCTTTCGATGTCAATCGAAGGCTCTGAAACGTAGGCCATCTCGGTACAGTAGTCCGTCAGGCCACCCAGACGGTGCCGCCGGAATACCCCGCTGAAGCAGAATCATCCGACCGGGACGGGACGCGATACACCGCGGCTCAGCCAGTCCGCGAGAGCCGGGCAGACCACCTCAGGGTACGGAGGCCGGCCGACGGGTCCGCCAAACGGCGAGACCACACCTCCAGCACGGAGCACCGAGATTGGAGCCTCCGCGCCCGAACTATTCCTTCGCCAGGGTGCCCTTACCCCCTAGAGCGGATGTCACTATGCCACCTGTAATCGACAGCGAGCGCCTCCGCCTCCAGGTCCCAGGGTAATGATAACCCGGCGAGCAGGCACGCCGCCTCATAGGAGACCCGTAGGTCAGGGCGTGGCACCAATCGGGAGCGCCATAAAGTGCCATCGACCGCACCATCCCCATGTATAGGCGGCATGCCACATGATCGGGATCCCGACGTTAGGAAGAAGCTGACTCGAAGAGCCGGCCGTCGCCATCAGCCGAGGGCCCGATTTTTCGAAATGAGCGCGGAAGCTCCATTGACTATCCAGCTCGAGGCCAAGGTACCTTAGACCGGTCACCCCGACCTCGGTGCGAACGCCTCCAATCACGAGGTGGGCGCCCGCAGGCGGCGCATGTCGCGGCCCGTGAAAAAGCAAGGCCTGGGTTTTGTCGAACGCCACCTCGAGCCCCAAGCGTCGGATCCTTGTGACGATCAGTGCCACGCCTGCGCACGCCAGACGGGCAGACTCGCGGAAGTCCCTTCCCAGTGCCACAACCTAGTGTCGTCAACGTAGCAAACTACACTCAGTCCGGGGAGGCTTCTGTCAAATAATTAGGTATCTTGTGTTCTGTTATGACTACGGTCACAAAATGTTTAATAGGTGCCTGATTCGCGCTAACCTTTCCACGACTTTTGCTTTGTTACTTTTTAATTAATCACCGATCCCAACTCCCTATTAACACACAGTAGCAAAGCCTGCCGATGCCATTAATAACTCGTAATAGAAATAACCCCTAAAAAATAAGAGACAACCGCCCCACAAAGAAAAACAATACAAAAAAGGATTTATTTACAAAATAAAGTACAGATTAGTTTTTCTTGACTTTAATCCTGTTACAGTGACCGCCGTTCACGGAGGTCCAGAGGTAACACAAGACCCTCCTGGCCGCTACGTACACCGCGAGGCACGCCAGCATCAGCGCCGCTATGATGTCCACGAGCCAACGCTGGTACCACGGATACAGCAGGCTCTTAGAGCGCAGGTGGTAGGCTCCTGTAACATAATAGATTGGGGAAAAAGTCTTTTCGCATTATAGTTTTTTTATTATTTTTTTATTGCTTAGATGTGTGGACGAGCTCACAGCCCACCTGGTGTTAAGTGGTTACTGGAGCCCATAGACATCTACAATGTAAATGCGCCACACACCTTGAGATATAGTTCTAAGGTCTCCGTATAGTCACAACGGCTGCCCCACCCTTCAAACCGAAACGCATTACTACTTCACGGCAGAAATAGGCGGGGCGGTGGTACCTACCCATGCGGACTCACAAGAGGTCCTACCACCAGTAATTACGCAAATTATAATTTTGCGGGTTTGATTTTTATTGCACGATGTTATTCCTTCACCGTGGAAGTCAATCGTGAACATTTGTTGAGTACGTATTTCATTAGAAAAATTGGTACTCGCCTGCGAGATTCGAACACCGGTGCATCGTTCGATACGAATGCACCGGACGTCTTATCTTTTAGGCCACGACGACTTCAAAACATGAACATGTAATAAAATCTCTTTGGCTATACTATTTGTATCTGGCTGGTTTTGGTGTCATTAAAAGCTTAAATAAAGAAGATAATTCCAAATTAAAATTAGGAAAAAATGTGATTTTTATTTATTTTTCGTACTGTCAAGATAAGTTAATCTAGTGAAGAAATTCGATACATTTTAAAATTTTACTTTTTTTTTTTTTTTTTTTTTTTTTTTTTCCTTTTTTTTTTTTTTTTTTTTTTTTTTTTTTTTTTTTTTTTTTTTTTTTTTTTTTTTTTTTTTTTTTTTTTTTTTTTT